AGTCATCAGACACAACAATCTATTGCCCCATAGCACTTATTCTTAGAGTAGTTTAACTTTTTTATCTTATTTATCAACACCACTCTGTTGGACACGTCTGAATGTCCCTTAGTACTGTAGGCCAGATGAACTTAAGGCCAAGCCACTGTAATTGTAACTCTGGCTATATTTGAATTTAGTTTATATGTTACCTTCTTACTAACCTGCTGTAGTAAGGGCTTTTAAATGGGCTGCTGATTTTTGTCTGACGTTGTGTTGATATGCTCTTTCATCTTCATGGGTACCAAATTAAGCCCGAAAGAAAAGCCTTATTGACGACACTGCAGAGGTTGAAATGAGATTTTTAATAGACAGATCGACATTTGGGGAAATTTGCTTTCTTGCAGAGGTAGATGAAAAGACCAAAACCACTCTCATATCTATACGGGTAAATAACAGCCACTTGCCTGGTCCAAAGGTGACAACATATGACTACCAGCACCTCCAAAGCTCTTTAATCTGCATAAAACCAATGTGTAGTTGTTTGTTTGTTGTTGTTTCGTGGGACTATTTCTTGGCTGGAAGCAGTGACTTCCTCCAGTTTCTCCTGGTTGTAGGCTTCCTATTTACCATGCAGATATGAAAGTGGTATCAATCTTCTCATCTAAGTTTCAAAAAGAAAGCAAATAGGCCCTAAGCAAAATGTCAGAATGTTCCTCTAATCGGACGATGTGGGGGAAGGAGCTCTTCAGACCCTAAAATACATAAATACCTGTGTAATATGTGTAAGAAATGTCTATTGCAGCCGTCTTGGATTTTTCAGAAATTGTTGAAAGTATCACCTGACATTTCACAGAGGTGCAGCGGCCACTTGACATAAACCCTGACAAGTAATTACATTTCTGCCCGTGTGTACCCTTCACTTAGCTTCCTCTTTGGGCTGTGCTTGTAATCACATCCACTTCTGTCACTTGCTTTAGTTCAGTAGCATTACTTATGTAGGATAATTTTTATTTTATTTGGTTTTAACCCTGACTCAATGCTGTAAGCATATGATATGTAAATGAGATGACTGATTTTCTTTTGTGATTATATTCAAAACTAGCCCATGGAGAAATTGCACCACGATGCATTGCTCTATGTGTAGATAGTTAGTTTGACAGTGCTCGTTGGCAGTGCTTTTCTGTATTGATTTGTTCTTCACAAGACAATCTTAACTGGCCAGCAGTGATGATACAGACTCTGAAACCTTATCACTTAGTGAATGCTTTACCACTAAATTGATTGTGTAACTTTGATCTATAAAGTTTACTGTATCAACTCGAACACTCAGGTCTACTGAAGCTTATCAAATCACGAAATGTCTTAGTGCAACGCAGTATGTTGTGAACACATTGACGTCTTAATCTCTCCTAGAGCTGAATGTACAATGGACAAACTGTGATTTCCCAACCGAGCCCTTTGTGCGGGGAGCTTTTCTAGCTTCCGTTCTAATGCTTTTATGGAATGCTGTGGTATGTTCACGTATAAGTTGCACGAAAAAGCTTTGATGTGTTATTCCTTCCCTCTACAGACTGAGCGAACCATGTGCCTTAATATGCCACTCTTAAATCTGGACAACACGAGTGTCTGGATTATTGCAGTATCAGCAATGTACATATTACGATGACTGTGCCATTACAAGTGTTTTTCTCTTCTGTAAATCAGAGAACTTAGAACGACAAAGTTGCAATAAAGTTTACATTTTCTTACTTCACTTCCTTGAGTAATTTAGTTTTCTTTGGGGCGCTTTGTATTCACCCAGTTCTAAAAATATGCCTGTTTGTGTTTGACTGTCCATGCAATCGACTGGCAACCTGTCCTCACCTGCCACCAAAGGATTGTGGGATAGCCTCAAACCCAGCCAGAATCCCCATAATCAGAAATATGCAAATATGTAAAATGAATAAAGTTTCTACTTAATCGCAGCATCCATGTCCGTGTCTGCTTGCACATGTGCACGCTCCTGTTTGAGAGTACTTGTTTTCATTAACACTCCTCGCTCTTCCTTCTCCTCATGTCAGACAGTCTACGGCTATATATCTGTGAGCATGCTGACGACTAACGTCTCCACTAATTCCACTTAAACCTAATAAAAGTTATTTATAGCTCCGGTGAGCATGCGGGGGGAGAGATTCTCAGGGGAATCACATTCAGCTCAACCTCCGCTAAGCTTCTCTTCCTTACCATCCTCTCCTGGTGCCCTTTGGCTGAGCTCCACCTTGGGGCCCCAGACCCTGCTCCTTTAGCGCAGTTAGACAGGTGCAGCTGGCCGCAGACATGCACAGACCCTCCACGCCAACCACCGAACTCGCCCTCTCCGTTTACACCCTCGCCTTAATCACTTAGATTCATATGGCACTTTAAAAAAAAAAAATCTGGGCGCAGTTCTTAGCCAGATAAAATTCACAAGACATTCTAGTGTGGCTCCATGGTTTGTGAGGTGATGAAGTTACAGTGTTAGAGGCTTGAGAGGACTCTGCAGCAGAGGACAGCAGAGGTTAGAGAGCTAGAGTTTTGAATTTTGAGACCAAAACCTGAAGTGACCTTCATCGTTCCATTAGATTTGTTTTTCAGGTAATAAAAGTTGACGTTTAATTTAATACTGTTATTTCCAATATTCAACATAAACATAAATTCCCCCTAATTTGTGTAGAATAATTAGATTATGTTAGATGTTTGATATTGATCCTTTACTCTGAACAGTGAAACTCCCTCTGTGAGGTCCACTTTAATGTGAAATCACGGCACAATAACACAATTCCTTCCAGAAATCTTGCGGTCAGAGACATCCACCCACTAAACTAACATTTAGCAGCAGGACACAGCGGACCAATTATTTTTTCCTCATTCACTAAATCAACATGTAACATTCAACCCAATTAGGTTGGGGCATAACGGAGCCTTACGTAAGTTGCCCAGCAGTGCAGGAAAAACAAATTGTCCTGCCAAAACCCCAAATCAAGAATGACACGAATGATCTACATACAGTAGCTGCAATGAGAACGATGTTATTCTCCACTGTTAACAGCCTCCAGTGATTACCACCAGACAAAATGGGAGCATCCCTGCTCCTGCATGAATGATTAGCTTATAAAACAGGATAGGCAACATTGGCACCCCTCTTTTCTTTGAGGGTGTTGTGGAGCAAGTGGCACATGAATTAAACTGGTGACAAGCAGAGGCTGCAGATCTCTCCCAAAGTCTACTTTTAGAAGGTGCAAGTCAAGGTTTTAGGTTTCAGCGTCTGCTCTTGAGTGAATGGGTTTTCCAGCTTGCCAATTAGGTGTACAATTTAAAGGCTTGTTGTCCAGAAGCCAGCTGGTTGAAGCCTGTTGATTATGCTGTATGGATTGGTCGCAGTTTGCCTGCACGCATTGGGTTTTGTCTTAATGCATGGAAAGCCAGGACACACTTCATGATTTTGATAAAGACCTAAAATTAAAGATAAACAAAGCTCTAGCTTTGAAAGTGATCCTTTCTCCCAAGTGGCCAAATTGCAGGTTCCCAGAGTAGATGAAGAGTAAGCACACCACAGGAATGTAGTCTTGAAATTTTAGCCTGCTAACGGAAGCCTAGAGAAGGGTGACATCAGGGCGGGTGTAGCATTGGGGTCTGTGCACAAGTAGTGGACAGCAGCTAGAGGGAAACCTTCACATGTAATCACTTCCTGCCTATTTCCTCCTTGGGAATCTGTCACCTGATGATGCCTTTAAACGTCTTCTGTTTAATTCAAGTTAATGGGTGAAAAGGCCTATGGCCCGAGCAGCCTCAGTGGAGGGGCTTATTAATACCCTCAGAGACGGAACTGGCTCCTGGGTGCCGTCCACTTGAGCCCAACCACCTGGCTTGATGCAAGGCTACGGCTTCCCTTTGATTAAGGAAACACTGAGCTAAGGAAGGAAAGATCTCACACCAGTCCACCTCTCTTTTCACACCAGACCAGTTTCCGGAGGTTTACAAATTGTCAGAGCTAAGAAAAACTAATAAACAGAGCCATGACCACTTGTGTGGATGAGAGTTGAGCCAAAATAAAATAAACAAGCGTTGAACCAACTATGGTGCAAAGTGACCTTTGTGCTTGACAGAGGCCTTTTCAAATTCTTCACCTAAAGCCTCATTGGTTCTCAGGGAAGGAGATGGTTAGATTCACTGAGGTAATGGTTAGAGAATGTGGATAATGATACCACCGAGCTAAACACCTACTAAATGCTTAATTACGACAGCAAAAAGTAATTATTTACCACGTTAGCAGCAATGTTTGTCGGTCCATCTCTTTTATCCCGACTTATATATCTCAGCAATTATTACATGGATTATTCTGACATACAGACCTTCATGGTCCCCAGATGATGATTCCTTATGGCTTTGTTGATCCCGTAACTTTCCCTCTAGTGCCCCGAGGATGACATTTTTGTTTTTTTTTAGGGAAATGTCTCAACCACTATTGGAAAGATCGCCATGAAATTAGGTACACACATTCATTTCACCCTCATGATGAATTGCTATAACTTTAGTGATACGTTATCATTTCCTTTAGCTAATACTTACTTACAAAATACTTGAACTTTGTCTTTAGTGCTAACTGGCAAATGGTTGCACTCTGACAGGCTAAACTAAGACGGTTAATGTGGTAAACATTACACCAACTAAAAAGCAGACATTGTGAGAATGTTGACCGTTTTTGTTTTAATTATTCATTATTAACATAATTATTTTCACACACAACTAAAACCCAAAGATATTCAGAAAAACAGAAAACTTTCACATTTGAGAAGCTGAAACCAGACAAATGGTAAAATTTCTGCTTGATAAACAATTCCTCAGTTATAAAACTGTTTTCTGTCAATCAACTAATCTATTAATTAACTTATGGTTTCATATTTATCCAAAATGTGATTGTCTTGGTGTTAAATCCCCCATGGCATTGGCAAATACGGTGTATACAGATTGTAAGTAAGAAATGACAAACACAGAGTTGATACAGCTGTCTGACATTCACTTTATTGTTAAAACTTGTTTTGGTATATCAGCTGCTTTTCTTTTTACGCATCTTTAAATTAAAGGCAAAGATATACAGCTTCATCTTCAAAAACCATGCAGCAGTGTAAACATGAGGTCTACTGAGATAAAAAGTCATACAACTACAACATACTGGCAAAGTCTGTGGTAACAAAACTGTCATGTCAAAAAAGGAACCATTTTGTCCGTTTCACTTCTTGAATCAGCAAAGCTTTAACTTAATGCTCATCATTCGCCGCGTTCAACTAGTAAATATGCATTTTTGTTTCTTGAATAAAGTGGTGAAAACATGGAAAAAAATAAATAATGATGAACTGACAACATATACATAACAGAAATGCATTCCTACACATGACACCCCCACTACATCTGCTCTTTCTAAGCATTACTCATGGATTTCCTAACATACTATAATAACCTATTAAACGATTGCGTACCTCATTCTTGACAGCTGCAACATCACTATGCTGGAACGGTCAACTCAACAGTTTGCTCATAAAAGTTTAGAATTCATCTTGATCTGACAAAAAGGCTACCAAGGTACTTAGGAATTGGTTGGTTAGAACTAAAAGGACCAGTCATGGAGTGCACAACAGAGTTAAAATACAGAACCCACTCTTTTTTTTTTTTGTTTTTTTTTGTTTTAAACACAAGAAACTGAAAAAAGTTGTGTCAGCCACACACAGTGTCAGTCAAACTCAACACGTGCAAGTGAGATCCAACCGAGACACACAACCTGTCTCGCGAATCCCTCACTTTTCACAGCAAACTTCACGTTTCCCACCCACCAGCACGTCTGAGTCACACAGATTATATTATTACTGTAGACATTATACTGCATCTCAATTTCTTCTACTGCTGCACACGTACACGTCCACATAAGCACTAACCTTCCAACGCTGTAGCCAGCACCCTTGAATACTAGGCCAAGTTAGTAAAACCTGAGAATGAAAATGACACAAACGCGATCTGCCTTCGGCGCTAATCAAATCATGGCAGCTAAAAAGAACAAACATATTGCCTGTGCACTTGAGTCAGAAAGGCAACGAAGATCCATTTGCTAGACCGTGGCAACTGCTCCGTGTCTTGTGTGTTGCTATCCAGAACCACACTGACACAGGTTCACTTTCTTATGTTGAATATTTACAACTCTTGTAATTATAGCTCGACTTCTACAGGCTTCCATAGGTAGAAGATTACTGGATAAAATGGTTCAGCCTAGCGAATGAGACTCGGTAGCAGTTTAAATACAGAGCCATTTGAAATTAATGGACACCACGCAACATGCAGTTTGTTGATAGCACTTAACATCACGTTTGCTGCCGGTTACATGAGGTTCTGCAATTGAGGAGATCGGGGGGGGGAGAAACTAAAAACAACATGAATTCAGAAGATTTTCAACACTGGGACAAAAACTAGTAAAATATTGCACCATCTCTCAACTTAAAACATGGTGCAAATGTTGGATGATGCTACTGGACAATCCTTCGGCTGAAATGTCAGTTACTGTGGTTATACAGACTTGATCTCAGACTACAGAGGCTCAGATTCTCTCCTCCCTTTCTGCCCTTTTTTACATTAGTGGGTCACTAAGGCACCAGTGCGAACAGTCCTGTAAATAAAAACTTTGATCTGTGCACTACCTGTACCCCATACCACCCGAATCTCACCTAGCCTATACATACAGTACACATGAACGCCTCACACACATATTGACAGTAATGTTTCCAAATATCATCATCTCAATCATCCTTATTTCTGTAAAATCAATTAACTTAAAAAATAACCCCAAATCCAACATTTGATTCTGTACAAGCTTTAGGAAGAATATATGTTTTGCTAAAAACAACTTCTCATGTTTGTTCCACCCACAGAGGGGACGATCACTTGGCTTTGTTGTCGAGCTGGAAGAGAGCCAGTATGTCCAGCATGGCCTGTCTGATGTTTGTGCCAAAACGGTGGGAGTCCTGAAATAAAGCAAAAAAAAAATGTGGAAAGAAGATTTTAAAAAGCCTCCTAAAGACATAGAAAATTTTAAATTGTCTGTAAATACTGAAAACTAGTGAACTTACGGTCTCCGGGCTTGAGTGTTTGCTGGAGATGTGGAAGTTGATGAGGTTCTCACCAACAATGATGTAGGAGACACCATAACCATCATTAGCCACCTAAAGGACACAGGAGGAGAGAAAAAGAGATGTGAGTTTAATATCAACAATAGTCTCAATGTATTCAAACTATAATTCCAAAACATGGGAATTTCTGTCATGTATGTACAGACTTTTTATTCCCTCATTAAAGTACATAAAAAACAAGTGGACATATATATACACTTAGTGTGACACGCTATGCTCAGTGAAGAGGAAACATTTTTATGAGTATATTATATATAATATAGACTTATCCACAAATTGCATCTGCACAAGCGTTTCAGCTCTGTCCTAAATTCCTGTAAAAACTGATGGATAACTTACAGGACCAAATCCGCCTCCGGAGGACACATACTCAGGGTGTTTGACCAGATCAAACAACTCAGTTTGCTGCACAGGGGTCTGACTGGTGGATAGCCTCCATGGTTCAGACAGGACCTAAACATAAGGGAAATAAATACATTAATTTCACCGCTCAAAGCAAACTCATGTTGTGTTCTTAGCCCAGCTAACATTTGTATCTAGCCTGGTGTGGATTTCTTTATTAGGTGCTTATTGGAAAGTTACTTTGGGATGTGAAGGAGTGACGTGTCACACAGTGATGCGCTGGATTTAAATATACCATGTCAAAATGGAAGGTGGAGTTTAAATATCTGGCTGCTGGACAAGATTCATTTCAACCACCTATCTTTCAATAAAACTCATGTAGTAAATTCAAGACTAGGTTTAATTTACAACTAGTCCAAACAAAACCTGCGAAACACCTGACTGTTTTTACCGTAGAATTGGGCTGAGACCCAAATCTTGGAATCCATCATTTCAAGCACAAAATAATTTCAAGGCTACTACAGTTCACCATTTTGTCTGTATTATTGTAAATCAATGGTCGCTGGTCTGTGTTGGTTCACATGGACAATATCATGTTGGTGATATTGGTGATGATGGTGGTGTTTAATTTACAGAGCCGAAATCTTCCAACAACTTGCAACATCATACCTCCTTGAGGAAGGCTGAGTCTTCTCCCAAGTATTTGGAAACCACATAGAGACAGAAAAGGTGGCGATCGATACCCTGTCCTGTCATTGCCAGGCGGTACATGTTTTGGTGCTTCTCTGCAGCCTGTTTGAGCAACATGAGACGCTCTTCTCTCTAAGAGGACAGAAAAGAAATAAAAAGTGAAACATGACAAAACAATTAAAAAGCATGATATGTATGCTGGAATTACAATCAGCGACTTAAAGCAGCACTGTAATCAGAGGTGTGTCGCGTTGCTTCTGTTTAGCCTTACCGTCTCGTCTCTGATCATGGATCGAACGAAGGCACAAGTCTCCATGGTGCAGGAACGCACAGTCTCTGTTCGGCCTTCACGGAACAAACGCGTCATGGAGGCTTCGTATGTCAGGCAGAACTTCCCTTTGTCCTGTTGAGAGACAGTATGCGTCAGATTTAAATGAAACCACAGAAAGTTGTTTTACAAACTGTCAATGAGTCTGCAACTTTTGGCCTTTTTTTTTTTAAATTGTGCTTGTGCTGAGTTTTGCATTATCAAATTAACTGCTAAACCAACAAGAAAATACAGCCTCAAACTACAGCTGAACAACATTTTTATCAAATCATTCATGAACAGTCTCCAATGATACGCTGGCTGGCAAGTTGTGACTGCCCTCTGCTGGAATTTAAGAGGAGTGTGAGTGTTTACTGTATGTGTTATTATAATTATAAGCAAATCATGCAAAGGCCACTAAAATGACAAAGAAATGAAGTGTTCAGTCATAAGATTTTGCTGAGAAACCAATGAGATGTATGTACTTACCCTGTAGTGGGCCAGCTGGAGGGCGATCTGGATGAAGGCATCAGGACTGGTGCGACACTTCTTAATCAGACCCTTGCCAAAGTCACTGAAGGGGAAAATGTGACAGTCCACATCATCCGCCAGAGACCTGGCCACTGTGAGAGAACTCTGGATGACCTCTTGGCACTAGAGGAAGTGACAAAGTCATGTGTTAGAGTGAGCAGGTGACAAAAGATTCAAAGCTCAGATTAATAAAATGTTTATCAGTGGCATAGTACTTCTTAGACAACCAGATATTGTATTGTCACCTTTTTAAATTTCAAATGTACAATACCCAAAAGTCCTTTCAGTACATCTTTAGATTTAAGTAATGAATAAGCACTGGTGCACATTGTTTGGGCCACGAACAAAAAAAAGATGATTGTAAATGATGACATGAAAATGTATAGAAACTGCTGTTTGCATTTTTTATTTAGCATGATGTTAATAATGGAAATATCATCAAAATATTGCGCTTTCTTGTTGTATTTGAATGTTGTAGTGGCTCTCCTACAAGATGACAATGCAAGCCAATCTGAGTTTGAGACCCCTGCGTATCAGCCTACAGTGTATGAGACATTTTCTAGCGGTCTTAAGCTGCCAGCATGATTCATCAGAAGTGCTTGTCAGAAGGTTCAAACAGCTTCACAAAGGTGAGAAATTAAGCAGGATCTGAACTTCTCTTTCCAGTTCTCTTTTTTCATAATTTACGAGTGAGTGAAACGCCTCTTCCGGGAGAGAATGCACATATTATCCCCATATTTAAATAATTATCAACCCTCTATATGATGGCTAACTTTTGTCCCCACATTTGAATGTGGCCAAACACAACAGCCATTGTAGGAACAAGTTGTTTTTGAGACTAATCCGGCCCTTACCTCAGCAGGGAGGTCCCACTGCAGCCTCTGAGGACCTGGCATGTTGGGGTGGGGCTCCCCACGGCAGTGACCATCCTCATATCCCAGTTTAACAGGGTCCATGGAAAGTACATGCTGCAACGCAAAGTTTTAACATGACTAACTCTATTAAATGCAGACATGACATTGATTGATTTTACATTTGTCTTAAAAAGATTGGACAAACCAAGCCAATCAGAACATAAAAACATATTCAGTTGTATTAGTTCAGATTGAGCTAGTTAAATGTATTCCTCATTGTCCTTTAAAGAAAAAAGAAAATCTATTTCAATCAAAATCAACAACACTTTTGTATTATATGTATTTTTTGTGGGCGGTCGATCAAAAATGATTATTATTAAATAATAACTATATAGATGTACCTCCCAGAGATGGCCAATGATTGGAGCATCTGCCCATGAATGCTCTGCGTTCAGTCCCATGGTGGCATTCTTGAAAACAATCAGGTTAAAGGATTTATCAAACCACCTGAAAGACAACAAATAATAAACACAATGAACTTGTGCCACATACTTTTGAATCATAGCAAACAAAATATGTCAACTTCATCTAGCTCACCTGTCATAGCACTTTCCGTGGAGCAGGGACTTGGCGTATCTGTCCAGAGACTTGACTGGGTTGTTGCTATCGTAGCACTGCTCAGTGTCATCAAGGGTCACAACGAAGGCCGCCTTCTCAATGGCGTCTAGTGACTGCTTGTTCTTACCACGGCTGAAGTAGGTTTCCCGAGCACTGGCCCATGGGGTCCTGCAGAATTTCAAATTAAGGCAGATCTGAGGAAATGCCTTACGGGAGTCAGGCCTACTTACACTAACTAGTGCACACAAGTTTGTCTCTGTCTTCTGTGTGATGTGTGGGAGGAAGGCACAGTACTTGCATTTTTGTGGTCACCTCCACACCTCTCCCTAACCTCATAACACTCATGTTGTCCGACGGGCAGTTATCTCACCAGTACATTGTGTGAGGTGATATTATTGGCCGATTTTAGCTTATCACAGACCTCAGCATATTTGTCAGCTGATGAGTAACAAAAACGTAGATATACAGATATAACAAAGATTTTAGGTTTTAGGTCATTTAGAAACAGTGCTAACATCACAGCAGCAAAAATGTCCTATTCAGTAGATATTGGGTACATTTTTTAATATAAAATTGAAGGGATCCTATTTTTATTTTAAAAACTGGATATCAGATATATTGTTTCTTCTCATTATCTATTATCGTATGAATTGAGTATAGCAACACTGTATAACTGCAATGATTACCTCATTGAATCAACTTTGAAACATATCATTCCAATAAATGAACATTTACATACAGTATTTCTTTACTTCCTGTTATGCTACAATACATACGCTCGCTCTGTAATGCCACCCACCTTTCTCCCGCAGTAAGGGCAGCTAGCCTCTCCTCTCCCGGCAAGGGCTCCGACTGGTCTGCCAAGATCCTCTCCATCTGCTGCTCTATCTCCCGTGGCAACAGCAGTCGCCCGTCATAAAACATCCACACCTTGAAATAACGCCCCTTATGGTACACAGCTATGTGTTTGCTCTCGTTCATGTGCTGAAGGATGTCTGGGGGGGAGGGACCAAGTAAGTGAGAGAGGAAACAAAAAGAGACAGACAGTTGGAGAAGTGTTTGGGGAGGTGTCGGGCAGAGTAAATTTGTGTGTTTGATCTCTTTGCAGCTTAAATTTGTAAATGATCAAAAAAAAAAAAAAAAAAAAAAAAAAAAAAAAAGTGGAGTGTGGATGTCACAGCCTTTCACTCAATATAGACAGAACAATAGAAGTGTTAGTAACCAATAACCAATGGTCCCACTGGTAAAATGATGTGACATCCACAACAGCCAGGGCTGGTAAACATCCTTCTTATGAAGTTATATTCATTTGAAGGGCAAAAAAACAACTGAATTCAAACTTTATGATGGGGGGAGGGAGGAGGGACTATACAGTTAAAAAACTAAAGCAGCTTGAAATGGGAAGTGCAGGAAGTGAGATGAAAAGGGAAATTCGTTTTGGAACAGGGTAGGGGTTTGGAATACAATGAATTGAGGCAATGTTTGTTTGAACAACACTGTGGGACAACCAAGAGAAACCAATTCAAAAACATCATATGCTTCTTTGATACAAAGCTATGATATTGTTTTGGTGATGCTCAAACAAGCATTGCCATTGTTACAGACAAGACAAAGGAGGGTATACTTATGCTAGGAACAAGCACCTCACATCCAGGTATTATTTAGCCCAGTTTGTTTGCTCTCACAGCAAGGGCAGCTCCAGCAATGCCAAAGTGAATACGGGACTGGCCACTAAGAGCCTGATATTTAAACAAACTGGTTTTGGAAATTGCAATAAAAAATATGTTATATTTAACAATTAAAGTTCTTGCCATATATTTTTACCTATATTTAATTGAAAAAAGTAAGAAATGTCACAACTTTTACATGACACCTTCACAACACATTTCAATTCATTTAAAACAGGCCATAATTGAGTTCTGTCCTCCACAGCCAGAGAGCTAAAAGCAGTTTGTGTGTGTTGGCTGTCTCATGAATGTGGGGCTTTCATTTTGAACTGATCCCCGTCTTCTCATGCATTAGATGTCCTTTACACACTGACTGTGCAGGTTTCATATCATGCCAGTTCTCCTACAACTTAACATTGTACTTAATCCGAAGTTTCAAGAAAGTTTCTTTACTAAAAGACATACTGAAATTTCTGCAGCATTAGCACAACCCAGGAGTTTGTAATGGTACCACCTAGGAGTGATAATAGTGGTTTATTATCTTTAATTAAAATTATATTTTTCTTCCAAACTCCATGGGACAAATACTGAAATGTACGTAAAACAATAACTATAAATATATATTTAGTAATTTGTTGTTATGTATTCAGGCCAATTTAATACTGTTTGACATTTTCAGGTCTTACCTTAACACTCTCGTTGTTTTCCCTTCTCAAACTCAAACATTAGATTTGAGTCGCATGCAAATTAATCCTTGAATGTGCACAAACCAGCACACATGCATTATTAATTCATAAAAGTCATATTATTTCTAATTCAAACAAACGGACAAATGTCCCAAGGAGAGGTACAGTAGGAATGTGGAGGAGGTGGCACTGCTAAAGACTCTACCTGTGTCTACACCTGGGACACGACTGGTGTTGAACATACGCTCGTATTGGGCTGAGCACATGGGAACAGTGTGTAGGAGCATGAGCTGAAACGCAAAAGGGGAGAGTCAAACACAACGAGATGACAAACTAAATGACCAAAATCCCCAGAGAGCAGCAGCAGCAGCAGACACAGGGACTGGAGCATGGATCAAGTGGAAAGGAAGCAATGAGGATTGGTGTGATAAGCAGTCTTAAGGAGAAGAAGGGATCACAGAAGGCCGCCAAGGAAAGAGACATGAGCAGGGTCCAGAAACCAGGGGTCTTCTATCTCAATGCCACCAGCAAAGCCCTGATATTTGCAGTAGGATATGTAATCAAATTGTAAATTAAATGTTTTACAAATACAAATTAAATGTGTATATCTCCCAAATAGATCTATAACATAACAAATAAATGCCAATCAGAAGTAGGATTGTTTCAGGACTGTGCTGTTGACAATGAGTCTAGGAGTCAGGGTTTCCAATGGCTGTTGCCGTGGTACAGCAAGGGTCACGGGTTGAGGGTCTGAGGGCACGATGAAGATGTGCCCTCCTCTTACCTGTCTCCAAACCAGGGATGCGGGTGGTGTTAAACATCCGCTCCCACTGAGCCGAACACAGAGGAACCTTGTTTGCCAGCAAGTATATCTAACGCAGCGTCCAACACAGCGAAGGGATAAAACAGTAAAGAGACAACCGAATGTAAGTGTGTAACAGAGGAGCACATGCATTTGTGTTTATATAAATGCATACAATCTGTATTTGCAAGAGATCAGTGTGTGTTTATGCAGCATGTTGTAAAACGTGTGAGGATCGTGCAAACGTAAAAAAGAATTTGCACTAAAGCATCATGCTGGTAAAGGAAAAGGACTGACAGAGGAGCGGGAAAAGATGACACTTGCGTGTGTCAGTAAAATCACTAGCATTCAATAAGCCTTATTCACTAAGCCTTCAGAAAATGCTTGTGATCTTGCTTTGCTGGTATCAAAGCTGTACTTTTATCAAAACAAGCAAAAAGCACAGTGCATGTGTCATTCCACAGTCAGAGTTAGACACAGTGAGCAGAAGACAATATGAAGTATCTACATAATCACTAATAAGACTGGTGATAACAAACTTATTTTATAGTACACAAGAAAAGGTTGTGAAAGATAGGCAGCATTTATTGTTAACTTAAAAGAGAAACTCACTGAGATAGCATCTAATAAATCAATAAATCATTAATGAGAAAGTTAAACATTTACATAGGATTGAACACATACTAATGTGGTTTATATATAGCTTGAACAATGTCTGTAGATTAACAAAGGTTCAACATTTTCATCAATCATTTCAGAAGTGAGACAGGAAGACTGAGGAGCGCTATACTCACTGGTTTGACCTGGCCTCTGTCCAGTTTTCTCCTGTAGAGCATGATAGCATGGATGGCATTACCTGCCCTGGCAGCCTGGATGTTGGTGGGGAACACATAAAGGAAATCCTGGAAAAAAGTAGAATAATAAATCAGTAATCAGTCACATTTCATCCATTGTGTCCTGAAAAACACATGATATGTGGCTTGTAAATGCAAACAGAAGTGTTTTTGTGATATGGTTTTGTAAGAAAGAACAGAGATCGAATTTTGTTTAGGATGCAAAAACAGACATTCCAATGGTGCTGGACTACTGCACTACTAGACAAAACAGATCCATAGCACTTTGTCTTTAGGAGCTGTGACTTGTGCCTGCCCTGCTGGAGTGACAGTTCAGTCTACTATCTCTCTCATTCAGGGACAAACACACAGAGGGAGCTGTGTGTTTTTTCCTCTTATAGACCCTCAGTGCTAGAAAGTGTTCATTTGAGCCCAATGAGTATGATCACAGATCAAAGACAAATTACAATACAGTGGTTGTAGCTTTGCCAACCAAGATGATGAAAATCCCAAGACTGTAGATGTAATGAGTTCTCCTGAGACACGGTCACAGTACATTTCTACACGCAGATGTATGGGGATTATTACTGCCAAGTGGGTATCCTTACCTTACATAGAAAAACATTTGCTACCCAACTGTACACAGCTATCACACACAGTATTAGACTAGTGATATGCCATAAATACATTCTTATCCAAAGGCTACCAAGAGGGAAAAAATGAAGTTATACAGACAGACAGAGACAGATAACTCCTTAATAGGATGGTTTTGATGATTGTCATCCTGTATCATCAGGACCCACGTGAGGAAATCCGATTCGTATGACTGACAGCAGTTTATGCAGCTGTGTATATTTATGTTCCCCATGAGTATTATTAGTATTATTAGACAGCAAATCGACTGCATGTTATGAATAATGACTAACAGGTAGAGAACAGACGAAAAGGAGGCATCTAATACAGTTTCGGGGGTTATTATAATGGGACTGCTTTCTCAATTGTATACAGTTTAGTCTAAGACACTGCGTTTGGCAGAGCGGTCATGTGCCATAAAGTTGCTCAAGAGTTCATGTTACCATATGACACTTTGTTGGTGTGCCTGGAGGTGACAGGTTACTCTGCAGCTCTAGTGGCAAATGTTTAGGATTACACATTAACAGTTAATAATTAAAGAGGAAATAACCTCTGTATATAACTCCACTATACACAGCTGTGTTTTAGGACATGGTGCTGTAAAAGGGTCAAACTCTCTGTTGAAAGCTTTTGGAATTCATTTTGGTGTCACCAAAACAAGTGAACAAACCAACAAAAAAAAACAACCTACATTTTAGCATGTTGCTTAATCTTTGACGAAAAGGCTGAAAGACTGTCAGGTAGAGATAGGGATCTTACCATGGCATAATAGTTGCTGTTCACCATGATGGGCCCACGACCTCTAAGGTAAATATACTCCTCCCACCAGTCACTGACCTGTGCAACACAAAGAGAGGATGGGGAGAAAGAGACAGAGGGTGAGACTATTAGACAGACAATGTTTTTCTAAGCAGTTTGAAGCCAATTCAAGACCTAGGACAGACTCCAAAACTGTGACAAAAGAGCAGAGGAGAGAGAAAGGGAGAGGAATTCTTTTTAACTCACATAGTTGGAGGCCCACCAGGACTTGAGTTTGAGGTACCACTGCAGTCTGGGTCCCAGGTTCTTCTCAAATTCTTTAGCCAAGCCCTTCATTCGTTCATACTGCTCATCCTCCATCAGTGGACGTACTGATTCCAGGTACTGTTAACACAGGGGAATGCATAGTTGCAAAGAGTGATTTTAAACAAGGAAGGAGCAGAAAGGCCAGATTTTTTTTATCTATTCATTCTCCCATGAGAGATAATGATAGACCGGAATAAAATCTGTTTAGTGGCTCTTCCTTAAGATAAAAAAAAAAAAAAGTAATGGGACGAAGAAGTGGAAATTACCCTTTTGCAGGTGTCCTTGACAGAGGGAACAGGTAGTCGTGGCAGAGAGTTCTGGAAACTGTAGAGCATTGGCTTCCTGCCTGAAAACACCTTCACTAATATCTGAAGAAGCAGAACAGATAAGGGAGAGGGGAAGGGCAAAAGGAAATTTAAAGTTACACTTTGTTTAATTTGGAAACCTGTGGTTTATAAGTCAAAGTCAGTAGTAATAGAGGGTACAACGAGACTAGCTTGTCAGAAAAGGGGCTAAACATCATTTCATTAGACTGGTTCCCTGTCTTTGAAAGTCTGGCACCACTGGTCAAAGTGCAAACATGTTATCGGTGGGTACAACTAAAAGTACCAAAGTAACACTTACTTTAGTACGGCATACATTTCACACAAGAATTGTCAAAGTAAAAAAAGAAAGTGCATCCTTGACTCATTACAGTTACTCGACTTTGTACTTTTTACAGAATTATTAAACTTTAATAATATTATAAAATACGCTCTTCTACTTTATTTTTAGTATTCAAGGGCATCACAAAATAACTTGTAGTGTATCACAACCTATACTTTAATACAGTTCAGCACTGTACAGTAATAAAAGTTGACCCTTTTATTTGTTAAGAGCCAGAATTTTGTGACCATAACTTTAACAAATGTTCTTCCAATTCTTGTCTCTCATACATCTGGCTCTCACAAGCTGTAACAATATGTTCCATGTGAGATGGCAAAAACTGCATTCTTTACTCATGTGGGGGGAATAAATTGCACTAGGACATTCTTGTAGGAATCTGTTCTTGAGTGAATTGAACAGAGGAGCACATTCATTGTCTCACCATCCACAGACGAGCAGACCAGGACACAGAGCCATGGCGTGCATGCATCCAGCCATGCCACGACAACAGGCACTTAAGGACATTCCTCATGATCATGATTATGGTGACCCACAGGCCCGTGCCCACCAGAACTCCTCCAACTATCCTCTGGCTATCTGTGGACATATATTGACTAAGGACAGAGACAAAGAGAGGGGGGGGCAGAGATCATTAATAGACTTGGCCCAGCCTTAAGTCAACAAAGGCACATTAAATCATGACTGATAAACAATGCATGTAATTAATCTAACACAAACACACCCAGTACAATCCTAAACCTTTATTACCTCCACCAAGGAGGTTATGTTTTCGGTAGTTTGTTTAATTGTTTCTTTATCAGCAGGCCCGACTATTGGCCTTGGTGGCGGTTTGTGTCCTCTGAGAGCCGCGGAAGTGTTGATAAGAGAGGCATTAAAAGCTAGGTGGACAGTACGTGCTTGTATAATATCACTAAACATGATCAAAAACACATGTTATCAAACATGAAGATGAAGCGCGGTGGACAGTTGGAACAAAATGTGATATCGGAATGGCAAAAATGAAATTAACTACTTTACAATCTGTAATTGTTATTACACTTAAAGCTGCCACTGACAGAAGCAGCGTAATTAAGGATGTCCCGTTGTCCAGGGGACAATAAAAACACCACCTGGGATACTAAGACACAGAGTCTGGGGCAATTCTGGGACAGTACACAATAAAAGTATAAAATGACAAACTTTTTTCTTTATTTTCTCTTTGGCCTGTTCACTGTCTGGAGGGATTGCCTCTCTCCAGTACACTAATATACACTCAATACACTCTTATTGGCTTTTTGTTCTCAGGGCTTTTGTTGTACTTGCAGTGACATGTTGCTCTAAGGTCTAAGCTACGTCACATGTGTGCTTACACACATAGTCATAGACCAGTGTGTACAACTTGGCAGACAGTGGGTGTGGTGACCTTTGGTGAATGTTTGACCTTCTCTCTAGGTATCTGGATTTGGATGATCCTACAGCTTGTAAATATGTAAATAGTTAATTTGAACTTTTCTTACGCTTTCTCTCCGGATCTATGGATTAAGGTGTTCCTAAAGCTTATATGTAAATACAATAGTTTGTTTGAGCTTGTAAATAGTTCTGTATTTCATTTGATCTTCTCCCTCCCCAAATAATTACAATGTTCAAAGTGTGCGTATATACACTTATCTCATTGTATATAAGAAACAGGTTTACATTTGTACTGCAGTTTGCAGTATTGATACAGTTAGACAACAAACAGTAACTCAACCAATGACTAAATAAATAATGAAAACTGACTGTGGCAGAATGAGAAAAAGAATTTCAATTTGGGACAATGGTTGTTAAGTCTGGGACATTTGAAAGTAGAATTTAGGACAGTTGCGGGACACTGAGCAAAAAAGTTCATTTTGAGCCCTGAACGGGAGTACCGGTGAATCAGGCCTACGTGTTTGCTTGTAAATACCTGAGGCATGTGCAGAACTGCATAAATGTCGTAAAGGATGATACCAAGTCAAATTGATTCCAACTCCCATCGCTATGCATTCGTCCAGGTGGAGCACTTTCACATGTTGGATTTTGTATCACAACTAATATTGTATTCCATGCCTTGTGAACAAATTAGCAAGGTGGTTATGTCTAGACATGAATACAGCTCTTTTGTGTTCCATATTGTTTTGATAAGGCCAATAATTGAGGGGTTTTGGCTGTCTCTGTTTGTTTACAGAACAAAAAAAACGAAAAACCAACAAACACCATATCATGGTGGGAGAATACCTCATGATATCAGTGGTCTTACCTGATGGGTATGTGTTGGCCTAGCTTGGCAAACATCCCCAGAGAGGGATCCAGCTGTTGGTATTTACTGTAGGACATGTAGGACACAACCACTACCATGAACCCACCAGGGCTGCCAGGGTACACACCAGTCATTACTCCATTCTGTGGAAAGGTAAATTCAAATGCAGTGTTACAAAAGGTTAGCACAGTCTTAAAGAGCAAATACTATATAAGGATATCGTTTATAAAAGCATTCATTCATTTCATAACACAATGTTTTGGATTCAGCTAAATTACAGATATCTAAAGAAAAGAGGAATGCATGAAAATGCTAGCAGGGTTTGAGTGACTTGTCTGTAAACAGACAACTATGCCAAAGGCCAGGACACAGAGAACACACAGGAAGGTTACTGTAACTGTTGACTGTTTGTGTGAGAGTTGGTGACCTTCCACTATAATGCATAACTGGGGCCCTTATGATGCTGTTTATTCACTACATTTTTACTGACAACAGACATGAACAGAAACTGTTGCGCGATAAAAGTAGATAACAGACAGAGTACCAATAACTCAAAGCTCATCAAGATTTCCCCTCATACTTTACAGAAACCCTCTAGACTTTGCCCTTCTATATATCAAACCCCTCTCACCTTGAAGCGAATGAACCTCTTCTTCCAAGAGTGGAGGCCAGAGAGGTAGATCTGGCGTAGAGCCTCGTGGCACAGCTGCAGGTCGATGCCATCGGGGGTGACGGTGAACTGGAAGGCCACCGCCTGGTGAGCTTCTGCCATGGTGGCTGCTACTGTACAGGGTCACTGAGGGTCAGGAAAGTGTAAATTAAAAAAAGTTAGTGAAGTAGAAGTTTCATTTTAGGTAACTGGAAGATGTAGCTCAAAAACACCCAACCACATCTTAATCATTGTGCCTACAATATATTCTCAGTCAGTGTTAATGCAAATGGCTTTACCAAACAGTAAATTAATCACAAAGTTGGGATAATGACGTCAATTATGAATCAGATCACAAACAACAATGTACAATCACTACATCCTGATATCTGTCAGCCATACTTCAGAACAATCTCGTATTGACCAGCTCCTGTGACAGTTACTAGAAATCTTTATTCCTTATTTCTCGACCACGCTTCAGGTTACCCAATTTCCAAGATTTCCTCATTCTGAGCTCTTTGTAGGGAAATGGACAACAGATAACTGCATTCTTACACAGAACCGCCCTATATATGTTATATATATATATATATATATATATATAAAATTGATATTTCTTTCTTAATATCCCTATGACTGTAGTCTTTAGCCTCTTTCTTAGGTACTGTAACCCAACACTCAAGACCACATTTTTGATGGTCTTTGTATCATCTTGGTCCTGCTTGCGATTGTGTCTCAGACCTGAGGACTGAGGTTATTTTTAGTGAAGTCACAATCATTTGACTATGTCTCAGAGAGGTATCTGCTGCATGTGTCTTTTTTATTAAAAAGTCATGTGAGCCAGTACTGAAAACTTAAGGGTATTTAGAAAAACACAACCATAATCAGATATCCCAGGAAGTATAAACAGTAACCAAAGCACACAACATTTTGCTGTTCTTCTGCATTAAGACTGGTAACAATGATTATTAACTATTAGGATTTTAATGATTACATTTTTTATAAGGAAATTTCGTGACTAAAAGGGTTGCCCTTCATTTCAGCTTGATGAGCATAGTTAGCTATATTAATTACTATATATAGCTACTATGGCTAGTTCCTATATTCATCTGGTTCATGCAAAATGACACCAAGGAAGATGCACTGGGAGGTGACTGAACTGGTTGGGCAGGTGTGCCATCTTACGCTTTAGTACAAAAGAACTGCTGCAACATTGAGCTATTACATGTTTAAATTATGTTAGGATGCAATTTGTGAATTTCATTATTTTTAATTTGATATGGTAAAGGAGATAAGAGGAATGGGGAGCTAATAGGCAACTGATATTAAGCCTCCAAAGGTGACATGAGTATAAGATACCAATCTTCTCAATACAGAGAGCTCTGGGAAATAGTAATTGATCGTGTTAATGATTACCTTACCAAGTGCCTAAGACAGCAGATTTCTTGCTTGTCTCATCTTTTGTAATTGGGTAACTAATGAGGCTAATAATATTAAGAATAATTCGTATTTTTGTATGAACTGATTGTGCAGCTGGAGCAAGGTGGTTAGCATTACAAAGATTTTGACTATATATGTAATACATTTCATATTTAATTATTTCTTATACACAAGTAAATGAAATCCATTAAATATACTGGACCACTTAAGATAATGAATAATGAATTATTTAGGATTTACATCCAAAATCCATGATATGAAATGGAAACGCCCTAATATAAGTGATGTTTTTTCTCATAATGCCTACAATAAACCTACAAAATAACCAGCATTTATTCACATTTTTAGAGCCACCCCAAAAAAAAAAAAACATGTTTTCATTTCACTAAAATCATGTTAACTAAGCCTTTATTTGACCATCACTGACACAGGAGACCAGCAGTATGTGTTTACTACCACCACCTGACATTCTGCTTTTGGCAATATGAGGGAGCTGCTGTTTCCAGATGCCTTCAATTGCTGTCGGAAATACAACATCCACATGAGCACACATAAATACGCTGCATGAAAACGACTAGGGAAAGTCTAGAATTGACAGGTGCTTACATTCATGTAAAACTGATGTTTTTTTTTTGTTTTTTGACGTTTGGTATCCCATAGTAATGCTTTGCTGTATTAGGTTTTCAACCGGCTTGTTTTTCTCTAATGCCACACAGTCACACGTTTCTCCTGCAAAGCGCCTACCTATTTTCTTCTCCTTTTCTTTACAGAGTCCAATTTTATTTCATTCATCGGAACCACTCTGAAAGCAGGACACGTCTTTTCTACGTTTTTCGGTCCTCGAAAGGAGCAGCATCCACAGAGGAGTGCTTCAGCAGTCAGTTCCCTCCCCCCCCGCCTTTACTTTCCCACATCACATGATCCACCCTGTGCTGCAGAAACTAGGGGAAAGGTCGCAGTACTCCGCCGCTTGGATACCGGGGCAGAACTAGCAACATAGTACTCACAAATACTAGTATGCCGGCATGAATATCCCATTGTGGTTACAATGAAACCACCAGAAAAAAACAACATATGGTTTGTCTTGGATACTCTATAGCCGGCGTCTGTCCATTTTTCTACATTTTAGAGTAGATGCAAAAACCCTCTCTGTCGTCAATTAATCATGTCAACTACCCCCAGTCTCCTTGAATATAACGTTATACGAATCTGCAATATGACCGCAAACGCCACATCCTCCACCTCATGAAGATATTTAGTTGCCACTACTAAACAACATCAGACACAA